CCCCCCACTCACGGGACCCCCCCTCCCTGCTGCCTCTTCCCCTTCCGCCCCCCCTCCTCCTCCGGCCCCAGGCCAAGGTCAGCAGCGACAAGGCGATCTACCGCCTGGTTGGCATCGACCTCTTCCGCACAGACCAGAAGGCCTTCCACCTCGCCCGCCTCGTGGGCCTGCCGCCCGCGCGCGACCCCGTGATGGTTGGGGACACGCCGCTGCCGCCCCTGCTGGTGTTCAACGTGCAGATGCCGCAATACCCGGCGGCGTTCTGGGGGGCGAGCGACGGGCCGGGGCAGAGCATCGTGTACTACTTTGCGCTGCCAGAGGTGGGGGCGGGGGTGGGGACGTGCGTGTGGGGGCGCGTGTGTGTGCGTGTGTGCGTGTATGTGTGTGTGTGTGTATGAGTGAAAGAGGGAAAGAGAGGGAGAGGGAGAGAGAGAGAGAGAGAGAGAGAGAGAGAGTGAGTGAGTGTGTATGTGTGTGTGTCTAGGATGCGCATTGTGGAGAGGGTGATGAGGTCGAGGGTGTCGTGATGAGGTTGGGCGGTCAGGAAACACAAGGGGCATGAACCACTCCGGGGCCGCCTGGTCGTTGTGTTGGTGCTACCCGGACAGGTGCGCTGAACAACTAGCAGCGCAGCAACAGCAGGTGGCGGTGCTGTGACGACCACCTCCTGCCTAGGGCTCACCAACGCTCCCGACCCTCAGCAAATGTCGTGCACACACGCGCAAAACCACACGCTCCCCAAAAGTGACACACACACACACACACACACGCGCGTGCGCATGCAGGCACGCACGCATACACACACACATGCACACACGCGCGCAACACTATACACCCCTCTCCCAGGACTTTGACCCCGAAACCTTTCAGAACCGCGCCGCCCTCGGCCTGCTGCAGCGCTTTGTCTCCAACGGCCGCGAGTCGGACGGCAGCCCCACCCGCGAGCGCCTCAAGATGATCGTGCGCTGCTGCAACGCGGAGGAGTGGGCGGCCGCAGCGCCGCTGAACTCCGCAGAATATAAACTGCTGGTCAACTACAACGAGAAGCCGGTGCTGACGCGGCCGCAGGTGCGAGGCCGCCGCCCCGCAGGGGCCTGCCTGGCCTGGGTTCTGGAGGGGCCGTCATGGGGGTTTGTCGGCTTCGCCGCATGCTTTTGCGGCTGGCGGCCGTGCCGATCCCGTACGCACGGGGCGGGGACCCCGTTCGTGCGGGGCAGAGGCGCTGCTCGAGGCCCGCCCTCAGGTGCGCGCGCATGAACCCGCAACTCGAGCCCTTCTCAGCCCACGCACGCGTTCCCACCCTCCCTCCAATCCCATTCGTCGACGCTCACCTCCACCCCACAAACCACTCGCATACCCGCCCCTTGCATGCACGTCAAAACCAACCCTAAACCCTACACCATGCATGCACGCACTTACATACTACTTAAATGGGTGCTTCACCTGTGCCTGAAATCATGCGTCAACCCAAACCCTGAACCCTGCACCCCCAGCACTTCTTCTACGTGGGCCCAAACTATCTGGAGGTTGACATGGACGTGCACTCTTATGCCTACCTGGCGCGCAAGGCGCTCAACAGCTACCACAGCCGCCTCAAGAGCGTGGTCTGGGAGAACGCGTTTGTGCTGCAGGTGGGGGGCCGGAGCCACCGAAAGGAGATCAGGGTTGCAAGACGGGAGGGGGGAGCGGGCGGCGGCGGGGGCTGTGACGCTTGCAGGCAGGGTAAGGCTCGTGCTGGCGGCACCGCGCCCTTGCGTGCTCGGCCGGATATGCTCGCGTCAGCCGCCGACGCGCCCCGGCGCCGCCGCTTCGCGGCTTCGTCCTCCCGGCCCCGGCAGGGCAACGCGTCGGAGGAGCTGCCGGAGCAGGTCCTGGGCTGCGGCCGCATCTACCGCACCGATTTTGAGGGGGCGCGCGCCCTCAACGACCTAGGGGCCGTTAGCGAAGTCCACAGCCGCGCGCCGAGCGCCCTCGCGCCGGAGAGCCTCGCGTTTGGGTCCGCCGGCACCAGCAGGGTGGCGTCGCCGCCCGCGGAGCCCGCCGCGGCGGATGCGGCGGACGCGGCGGGGGCGCGGCTGGCGGCGGCGGCTGCGGGTGGGGGCTCAGGCGGGGACGGCGGCGGCGCGTCGGCGGCGGTAGCGGTGGCGGCGGCCGCGGGGGTGACGGCGGCGCGGCTGGCGGCGGCTGCGGAGGCGGGGGTCAAGGCGGCGCCAGTAGCAGTGGTGGCGGAGGCTGGCGGCTGACGCGGCCCATGTATCTGGCGGCTTGATTCCTTTGCACTCAGAATTTCGAGCCAGAGTTAGGTGCGGCACGCAGACCGAGGCCTTAGTCACAGCCAACAGGATATCCGAGCTCTTGAGGCAGGGGCGCGTGGCGCTGCCGAGAGCGCGCCGCTGCAGCACAATCTCCACCCGATTCCTTTCCCGTTTCCCATTTTTGTTGCCCGGAGGACGCGCGGCGTCCGCTTGGGGCACTGCCGCAGGGCCACACCCCGCTACGTGCTGGCCGCTCCGTTCGCCGCGCGCTGCGTGGCGTGGGTGCAGGAGCGTGCGGCGCCCTGATCCCACTGTATTGTACCCGCCGCTATAGTCGTCAAATGTGGCGCCCTTCCGCGAACCCCTTGCGGAAAACCACAGTGCTGCGCCCGCTTCGCAACCTTAGGGTTCTTTTGAAAGCCCCGCGCTGCCAGTGTCCCTGGAACTGGGGTCGTCAGCGGTGAGTGTGGGCGGCGCCCCCAGAGTTGTGTCCGCCCCTCGATGACCTCGCATCCCCCTTGACCAATGGCTCCTGCGCACGTTGTCCGCGGCCGCAGCCCGATTATTGCTGTGGTCTAGTGGCCGATGCACTTTGTTGGGTGCCTCCAGTAACGGGGCTTTTGAGTGCACAATGGATGTATTGGGGTTTCGGCAGTCCTAGGGGTGGCTGCGCCCTGCGTGTGCTCTGCATGCTAATGCACGTGGCTGGATCACCAACATGTCTCTGGTGGGTCGCAGGGCAGGCAGGCAGCACAGGACTGGAACAAATGGCTGCAGCAAGCACGCCGGGCATGCAAGGAACAGCAGCGCTGAGCGCGCGTGGTGCCCTCCTTTCAAGGGCTGGCTGGCAGACACCGGCCAGTGTAAACACAGGCTGCACCGCACACCCTTTTTTGTGGATACAACGTTTGCCCTCGTTTACATCTCTACATCCAGCTCGCATAGCTCATTGGCAAAACCTGAAGCACGCTAGTACCGTACCGTCCTAGAGCACTCAGCTGGCGGATTGCCCCCAGCTTTCTTCTGGAGTCAGCATCACGATAGGTCCTGTTCGTTCGTGGAGCCAGCCGGTCGCAGCCCGTAGGGGTGATCTGGTGAAGGACCCCTGCTAGCTAGGCCAGGATGGCGGTGGCCCCGGTGTTGGGAGCCCTCTTCGGCTTTGGCGTCACCGTCTTCAAGAACTCGCTGAGCTACCTGCCGTGGTACCGCAAGCCGTGGGAGCATGTAATCAGCGGCACCGCCGGCGCGTACGCATTCACTTGGGTTGCTGCAAAGGAGGACGAGATGGTCAAGCAGCTCGAGGAGTACTACGAGCGCGCTGCCGCCAAGCAGGAAAAATGAGGCGTGCGGCGACGGCGTGGCTTTCGCCGCCGCAGCGGAATCCAGCATAGCAGACACGGCGCTCGCAGGGGCGGCGCTGCGCTTGTGCGCGCCTGCATCCCAGCGACGGCGATGAGTGGCGCCGGCGTCAAGCAACGGCGGCGACAGCTATGAACGGATTGCCGTGTCTTTTTTCACTCGCACCCACGGCATGTTGTGCAAGGCAAGGTTGCCATCCACACATTGTGCACCCAGCTTGATTTGACTCGATGCAGCTTTCTCAGATTGACCTGGGCATTCGGTTGCTGTGCAGCGCCTGAGTCAGCAACTCCTTCCAGGGATTGTATCACCTTCATCAAATCTTTTGTAACCGTCTTTGCTTGCAGCTGTCCCTCGTTTTTTGTCAGAGCTCACACAATGCCGCATTACAGAGCGCGCAGCAAGCATCGCCACACTAATTTTGCAGGCAGCGGCGGCCCAAACGCGCGACCCCGCCAAATGTGCAGCAAGTCAAGGGGGGATGGCAACGGTGTCAAGCTTGAGGGTCACTGCACGGAACAAGGCAAATCGAGCGTGAGGGATGCAACAGGCAGGTGGCCTGTTCTGTGCCGAAGCAGACGTGCTTTTCTGTGGGGTTTTATGCCGTCTCCAAGTAAATGCCATCAACAGTCTTCCGCAAGTCATAAGTGTGGTCAGAGTCAATTGATTCCAGGGGAATGTAGTGTCAAAACTGCACAAGCGATACTGTGTCGCTTGCGCCCGCCCCCGGGCGAGGTCAAAGCGCAACGGCAGCGGCGGCCGCCGCCACCACAGCCGCCACGACCGCGGCCCGCGCCGCCCGCGCCGCGCCCGCGCCGTTCTGCGGCGCCGTGCCGTTGCCCGCCGCCCCCGCGCCCTCGGCGGCCGAGGGCTCGGCTTTCAAAACAGGAAACTCGCAGCCCTGCGGGACCGCATCGATGAAGAGCACCGCGCCTCCGCCGCACGTCTGCTCCCACCCGACCACCCCAATCTTTCGCTTGGACGCCAGGCCGTCAAGGACGGCTAGGCCCGGCGGCAGCGCCGGGGCCGCCGCGACGGCCTGCAGCTTGCGGCGGGTCGCGGCGGGCGCCGCCGCGGCCGCAGTGGCGGCTGCGGGGCCCGCGGACGCGAGGGTCAGGGCGAATTGGCCGCCGTTTGGGCAGAGCTTGGACTTGGCGGCGTCGGGGAGCTTGGTGGCCAGTGTGATCTTCTGGGTGGGATCTATTGGATTGAGGGCGGGTCGGGGCGGGAATGGGTCGGGGCGCAAAAGGGGTCAAGAGCACGCTGCTGAGCAGACTTGCGGCTCGGCACGGGCTGAACGGGTGACAGGCAGCGAGGCAGCTGGCGCGCGGCGCAGCCAGCCCTGCCGACGCTTCCCATGACTGGCCAGCTGACTCATCAGTCCTTCGCTCCTTCAAGTGATTGGGACGTCCTCCCTTTGGAGTCTGAAGGACTGTATGTGCTGTGCGCTCCATGCGCTCTGACTGCACGCACCGTACAAGCCACGCAGAGCAGCGCTGCTCGCCGCCTCTGTTGGTGCACGCCCGTCCTGGCCAGGCTCGCCTCAATCCCCTCCCACCATGCGGTCCCGTACTCTGTTGTTGGATAACCATCCGCCCGTCTCACCAGCCAGTATCTTGGCCACATCGGTACCCCATTGGTTCACGGCCACCAGCGACTTGAAGATGGCGTCGTACAGGGAGTCGTCTACGCTGATGTCAGCGCGTGCGGCAGCCTTCAAGAACGCCGTCCAGGCGGCCTGGCTGGGGACCAAAATGACTTGGGTGCTGTTCGGAGGGGCCTGTGTACCGTGCGGAGCGTTGGAAAACGCGGATGTTGGCCGGGTTGCATGAGGGAATAGGCCTGACGATCACCACTGGCGTGCGGGCTGGCGGGTGAGTGAGCAAGAGTCCAATCATGGTCAGGGCATGTGCTGTTCAACATCAATTACGATTGGACTTATTGTGCGAGCCGCTGCGTGTTGGATGCAGCATGTCAGGGTCATGTAGCAGCAAGATAAAGGCTGGCACCAGCACCAGTCCTGGCTGGTGGCACGTGTGTGACGCACAAACAGTCGCAAGCAAACACAGCCAAAATCAGCTGACGCCCATCCCACCTGCTTGACTGTGTCGGCTGCGCTGGTTAGGAAGCTCTGCAGCTGAGGGCTGTCAGCGATCGCAGCCGTGTTGCGGCCTGCACCGTAGCCATCGCTGGCGGCACTGCCCTCCAGCAGCTGCTCAAACGTGGCGCAGCAGGGCTGCAGCAGAGCGTCGATCGGCACGATTGTGGAGTGGCAGGCTGCAGGGGCGGTTGCAGTGGTGGACGAGGCTAATGACTTGATGAGATGCAAGTGGTGCACGTGAACTGGGGCAAATGGCTTTGGAATAACCGCGCCGGGATGAAATTTCAGGCTGCGCAGCTGCCGGTCGCAAGAGTGACTTGCCCCAAGGGCGCATTACCATCACGCGACGCACCGCACCCTGATGCAATGCACGACTGCACCTCCCGCCAGCCTACACGCACCTTCAACAACAGCACCTGTGCGTGCTATGCCACGCCCGCCGCGCACGAGGTTGTCCGCGCCCCACGACGGCCCCACGCCCGCGCCGCAGCCAGCGTCGCCCTTCATAAGCGTGGGCGCCAGCTTCTCAGCGGTTGCCCTGGTTGGTTGCTTGAGCGCCTGACCAGAAGCTATGTGGTAGCCGAGAATCTGCTTCAAAAGGGTCTTGTTGGAGGCAAACAGGTGGTCATACTTGAAGGCTCCAGAATTGGCAGAAGCCTCGATCGCAGCGTCCGAGGGAGCAAGCACCGTGAACGAGGTTGCGGTCTTGTCAACCGCGGGCAGCAGGCCCGCGGCAATGAGCAGCTGCAGGAAGTTGGTGCGCCCGCCGGCGGCAAGCATGTGCGACACGGAGCGGTCGGCGTTGCGCGTGCAGCCGGCCTGGGAGGGGTTGTTGGCCTCGGCGGCGAGCGCGGCGAGGCTGTTGCAGGGCATTGGGATTGCGTTGACCTGCGGGGCACGGGACGGAGGGTGGGGGTGGGCGCTCGTCAGACGCCAGACTGGACCGTGGGAGCCAGCGCTGCTGAGATACCCAGTACCTCTCAGTGTTCCTCTTTGACGGGCGCAATCAAGCTGCAGAACAATGCACCCATTTCCCTGGGACCTTGTAGATGGTAAGGCCAGGGCAGGTGCCCTTGAGTGGCTCCACGGGGTCCACCAGCTGGGCGAAGGCCTCCTCTTTCTGCTGGCTGCCGCCGTGCTCCACAAACACGCCGCTCGCGTTGCGGCGCAGCGACATGCCATAGCCGACGCTGCCGGGCTTCTCCGGCAGCGAGCAGCGCCAGCGGGCCTGGCGTATTGAGGGGAGGTTTCATGGGGGTGCATGGAACTTGGTGCGTGGTTTGTGCGGTCAAACGGCCCTTAACATTTGCAACACAGCTGCCTTGATAGTGCTGCTGACGAGTTGTACAACCAATGTTGCTGCGCCCGCCCGCTGCAATGCAACCACGACTGCACAGCCCGCTGCACAGCTGCCAATTGTGGCCGTTGTGTGCAAAGCAGCCGCCTTCAGTGTCCCGCACCTCTGTCTCAATCTTGGTGGGGAACCCTGTCAAGGGCAAGGCTGAGGGATCGACATCGCTGCCCTGCGCCAGCCAGTACAGCATGAGGCCGCCAGTCATGGCGGTGGCTGTGATGTTGTCGCCTACGTATGCAGGAGGGCGCCAGGAGGGCTCTTCAACTGTATCAAGCGCAGAAGAGCGGTGGACGCCTCTCACATGACGAGGTGCTCATGCATGAAGTTTACGGGCGCTTACCCTTGAGGTTTACATTCTGCATGACAGCGGTGTCCTCCAGGCCCTTCCACGCCTCCTCGGTGGGGATCAGCATGAGCCCCTGCACTTGTGTGGGCGCGTGATGCATCGCGCACATGATCCAGTCCGCTTCTGCTACGGCGGCGGCGAACCGCAAGTGGATTTTCCCCCGTGCCTTGTGTCAGGCCCGCCAGCTGCTTGCCAGCATCCGCGTCACATTCCAGGCGCCCCCAACGCTTGGTACTTGCCTTAAGATCCGGGTTGCCATAGATGCGCTCGAACACGGGGCTAAGCTTCAAGCCAGGCAATTCCTTGGGCAGAACATCGGCGACCGTGCGGCACGCGTGCGCGCCAGCTGCTAAGCCTGTGTTTGCGACCGTGCGCAAGGAAGGGTTCACCATTTGGGTCACAGCGGGACCAGCAGCCATGCCCCTAGCTATGCGAAATCGCCGTGCAGAAAAAAATCAACCTTTGCAGAGTTGTACTTGCGGAGTTCGCTGGTCAAAGCAGATGCGACACAATGGTGGTAGCTGCAGCGGGGCCCCAGTGGCCAGCTGAGCACCGTCATGGGGCCAGTCATGATCCAGTCAGTGTGGCTCGCCCACCTAGCAGCAGTAAGGCAGCAAGGAGCTTCATTCTCCCCGCACGCTGGCTCTCAGCAAGGAGAATCGGCTTGCGTGTTGACCCGCAATGAACAACCGTCGATGCGCTGCTCGTGCTTCACGCAGTCTGATACTTCATACGAGGGTTAGAAGGCGTACAAGCGATCATATACAGCCTTTTTTATGCATTCAACACTTCAGACAAGTTTCAAAGTCGGGCCTCCGGATGATTGCAGGCGGGCGGACAGGAGTGTGCATCAACACGCTGCTGATCGTAGCCATTGTCATTATGTTCACTCATTTTGTATAATCAGCAAGCATTCAGACCTCCATGTCGCCTGTGGCTGCGTCATTGTCTGCTCCAGGCGAAGCGCAGCTGCTTGACAGGCTGCCTGTGGTGGAAGGAGATAATGAAGCAAGTTTGGATTACTCTAAACAGGCACATGCTTCCAGCAGTATCGATCCATCCCCTCTTCCGGCCACGAACATATCGGGGAAGCGCTTTTCGCTTCTGGATGGGGATTATGAAGCGCACACCTTTGATTATACGCTGAGGTTGGCCGCGATGGCGAGCGTGGGGTGACCAGGCATCGTTCAAGGCATTGTGCTGTGCTGCTGCGCACGCTGCGGTCAGGCGCTGCTTGCGCTGTTCATCTGCCCGCCCGCCCCGTTGCTCAAAGTATCACGGTCTTATCGCCGTGGCAAGACCCTGTGGTTTAGCAGATAGCGCCCTGAAAACCGGCACATCGGCTGCCTATGCCAAGCTGCCATAGACTCTATGCAACCTGCCCACATCTTTGCGGCGTCACCTGCAGCCAGGGCCCTGTCACCACCCTGCACTGGCTGCGCGTCTTCCGCAAGTCCATCCCAGCCTATGTCAAGGCTGCATCCCAAGACCCCACCCTGCCCGCGGACGAGCGCGGCGGCGCAGCAGCACGCTTTGCAGACGCGTTTGGATCCGTCTTGGATGCTTTGGAACGCGACCCTGCTGCGACCTGCGTTGATGGCTTCATCACGCAGCCAATCAACTGCAGCACGCTGTGCCGCATCAGGTGTGCGCGTGCTCTTGCCGGTAGTGCCGGCATGCGGCGGCACCGGTGGCAGCCGCAGATGCGGTTTGGTAGAGCCGCAAATTGCGGGATAGGGCTGGGTGCCGTATGCGAGGCTGCCAGCTAGGTTAAGCACCCATGTGAGCCGAGGCAGAAGCAGCAACGTAAAAAGGGACACGAGCAGCAGCAGCGAGCTGGCAGCAGCAATGCGGGCGCCTGGCCGCCCTCCCCCTCCTCTTGACCTCCAGGACTTGTTGCCCGCGGCCCGCGCAGGGATCATGCGCTGCAGCGGCAGGGGTTCGTTGACATCTTCAAACCCCTGAAAGACGAGGAGAACGGCAAGGCGCTGGCCCTGCTGCCCGGCGTGCTGCGGGAGCTGGATGGCGTCGCGGATGATGGCGCGCGCTTTGAGATGGCGCTGAGGGGCGTGTTTGCCGGCAACGGTGCGCTCGGGGCAGCCGGCGGCGGGGCATCGTGTGGAGAGTGGTGGGGCCACATGACTTTAGATAAACAGTGGCAGGCGAGCGGGAAGTACCATGTGGCGGGCATGGCAACATTTGGCGGGCATCCCTCTGCTCGATCACGCGCGAACGCAGCTTGCGACCCCTGCACCATGCCTCTCAGTTTTTGACATGGGCTGCGCCGAGACCGCATCGAAGGCGGACGCGGCCGAGGAGGCTGGCGGCAGCGTGGCGAGCGCGTTCGCCTCGACGCGCGACTCGCTGCTGCCTCGGCCCTGGGTGAGCAAGGGCTTTGTTGGGGGGGCTCACTCACCCGCAATACGACAGCATGTTTAGAGCCAGCACCTGGGCAGGCGCTGTCTATCTGGAGGCCCACGCGGCCCGCCTGCCGCTGCAACCCTGCCTGCCGCCGCCCATCCCAGGCCGTGGACGGCATGGATGCATTCCTTGCGCGCATGGCGGCGCGGCGTTTGTGTCCCCACGTCAAGGCCATCCTGTTCGTGGACAACGCCGGCGCTGACGTGGTGCTGGGGATGATCCCCCTGGCCCGGGAGCTGCTCAAGCGCGGCACGCAGGTGGCTGTTTCCAAGCAACAGCGGCTGCCTGGGGGCGGCGGGGGGTGGTGCTTGGCGGCGGCGGGCCACGCAGTGCTGTGCCCACGCCCTACGTCAGGGCAATCCCCTGATCGCGCAGCCATATATGCTGGTAACAAACATAAACACAGACAATCCTGCTCTTGCTGCTCCCTCCTCACCTCCCTTGAGCCTGCCCTGTCCCAGAATACGGATCCAAACTTTACCAGTATTTCGCCCCTCTCGCCTAAACCCCGTGCAGGTGGTGCTGACCGCAAACGCCCTGCCTTCCATCAACGACGTCACCGCCCCTGAGCTGGCGCCTCTGCTGGCAGCCGCGGCAGAGGGCGACGCCGTGCTGCGGCGCTGCCTGGCAGAAGGGGCGCTGCGTGTGGTGTCGAGTGGCAACGACCTGGGGGTTATTGATCTCACTAAGGTGGGCCAGGGTGGCTTGTGCAGGGCAGTCTGACAGGGTTGTGTTGCCTGGCAAGGTTGTGCTGAGGCTGGGGAATCATGGGCTGCATGAGCGCCCCGTGGGCTCTGCTATGTTGAATCAAGCACCTTCCTCAGATCCCCGCTGCCTCGCCTGTGCATTTCCATCCCACAACAGTTTCATACCCTTCCCGCGCACACACCTGCCGCAACTACATGCGCACACACGCCACCCATAGGTGTCCCCCGAGCTTGACGCTGAGGCACGGGGCTGCGATCTCGTCATCATCGAGGGCATGGGGCGGGGCATCGAGACCAACCTTTACGCCAAGTTCAGATGCGATGCTGCAAAGCTGGCCATGGTCAAGCACCCCGAGGTGGCGACGCTGCTCAAGGGGCGGTTGTACGACGTTGTCTGCAAGTTTGACGCAGCTGACTGAGCTGGAGACCTGGGAGTGATAAGGGGCTGGTTGCGGCATCGGTCATGCCGTGGTGGTGATGTTTCATATTTTATAAATGTGACCCCGCACATGGGAGCTAGATTTTCAAGAAGAAGAGACGCTTGGCCAACAAGTTTAGGTACAGTACACGCATTGAACCCCTACCGGAATGCTGAGCTTGCATTCGCGCAGGCAACCCGCCTTGAGTGAGTGCATGGTCCTGGATGAGTGTGTGTTGCCGGCTTGCTGCGTTGCACAGTGGCAGAACCCTCAACTTCCTGAACGTCCAGAATGAGCATCAAGACTGTCAGCAGGGGTTCTTGCCTATTGCGCGGAGGAGCTGTGACTGTTCCCCATGTTTGAGCATGACACGTTGACTTCAAGCAGATATTCCCGGCACCTGCCCTGTTACACGACTGTATTGGATCTGCAATTGTTGACCAGCTTTGTGGTGGCTTTCAAAGCCGGGCAAGATAGTCAACAATTTAGCAAATGGCTGCTGTGAAACCAGTGCCCCTTCCACCGCTGTATGTGCTGGCGCGGCTTGCATTGCCGTTGCCCTATTTGGCCCCTTGTGCAATCACCACTCCGCTTGGTGGCATTTCGCACAGCATTACAGAGGAGCGGGGCAGCTGCAAACACAAAAAGTCTGCCATCAGTCCGGCCCTGCAAAGGTCTCGCTAATCCGAACCAATCTGAGCCAAACTTTGCATGCATACACAAGGTACGAGGTCCATGCCGTCTCTAAGTTTGGCCACTGCATTCAAACTTCTCTTCAAGGCTGTCCAAGGTGGGCAAACGGCTGCACCATCAATCGCCGGAAGCGCGTTGCATACGCAGCGGGTTGCACCCCCTCGTTTTATCATGTACCATATATTCCATAGCTTGATGTTTCATAATGTTCCCAACTCAAATGTATGGATTCACGGACGAACCTGGGGCCGTCAGCTGCCTGGGACGGGCTGTCGACAGCAGCCATGTTTGAAGCGATCTGACGACTCCTCTGCATCCTCGATGATGATGTGATCAATGAATTAGGCTTCAAAAAACATTCGCGTGAAGGAAAATAGTTAACCGTCTCTGAAGATCACAACATTCCTAGGTGCTACAGACTCGTTGTTCTCACAGCCAAGCCAACCAAGGCGTTGACGAGTTTGTTATGCTTGCGCCTGTCAGGACTGCCGCAGCGCAGTTGCCAGCGCACCAAGCCAGCACCTGGGCCGGCGATGCTGCATGCTTCTTGTTGCGCCCCTCGCCGCCATTAGCTGTGCCTGGCACCACCCCACGACCGGGCACCTCAGGCACCTGGCTCAAGGCTTCGACACCAGCGCGCCTTCGCCTGGTGCCCGCTGGCGGCAGCAATAGTGAAGCCGGGCATAGTGCATCGGCGACTTTGCTGGAGTTGTCGCTCCCCAAGAGGCTGCTGCTGCGTGTCGATCTTTCCGAGGCGGCAAGGCCTGGTGCTGATGGGGCTCCGCGGTTGCTGAGAGATGCAGCCGTACTTATTGTCCCAAGGGTGAGTAAGCATTCCCTCGGCCGAGGACAACCGAGGTAGTTGGCAGGCATGGATACGGGACACGCGAGTACGGCGTGTGGAATTGACCGCTGGGCGAGCAGCCGCACACAGCGTGCTGTTCATTGGGATTTGAGTTCCCGTTCCCGCTGTTCGCACAGGGCGTGGCAGTGTTTGCCTTCAAGTTTTTTGATCACCAGGAATGCGCGGCCTTCGAGCGCTGCATAGCAGCTTTGAAAGAAGAGCTGCATGCGCAGCAGGAGGCAGCGCGGCGGCGGCAGGAGCAGGCGGAGACAGCGGCGGCGGCGACTGCAGAGGGGGCAGCAGCAACCCTGGCAGGTGGAACGGGGTCAGGAGCGGCGCCAACGGCGCCTGCTGCAGCCATCAACGGCGGATTACCGGGCGCCTCAGCCGACGCGGGTGCCAGCGATGAGGATGTCAAGGCATCCATTCAGGTTGGTGCTCGTGAATCAAGCTCGACCTGTGAGCCTCACTGCGCTCGCGCTGCACGCAAGGCAACGTGTGTGCATCTGCACATAGCCCCCGCAACCACACTGTGGCCATCAACACCCCAGCAGTGAATCCACCAGCGGCCGCTGCGTGCTCAACCTGCACCCCGAAATCTTGCGCAGGCCTACCTGTCAGACCCCTCGTTTCATGCATACGTGTCACGAGTGGAGGCCCTGTGGGACGAGGTTGAGCAGAACATGCCCGATGCTGAAAGGCATGGGGGGCTCGGCAGCGAACGCGTGGGTAGAGAAGGCGCTGCCGGCGAGTGAGAAGGTCGACACACGTGAAAGGCTGGGGCAGCGGGGTAATGTGGCGTTGTCGCTGGCAGCTGCCGTCCTTGGCGGGAGGCTGAGACGGTAATTTTTTATAATGAGATGTGAGACAACACAGCCCTTAGCAAACTGCTGACGCGCACAATTACAGTCACCACGCAGGCGACCATGGTTTACACTGCAGCACCAGCACCAGCACCAGCACCAGCACCATCACCAGCACCAGCCCCAGCACCATCATCATCACCAGCACCAACATCATCATCGCCCCGCCGCGTACTCGTCCGCAAACACAGTCACGCCGTACCGGCTGCCAGCCTCGCCGGGCCATCGCGTGAACTCCCCCCTACTGCCTGCGCGCCCCGACATGCGCTGTCCTGGCGCGCACATCGTCGCCTGCTGCCATGTGTCCGCCTTGAGCTTGCTGCTGAGGGGGAAGCTGCGATCCGGTGCAAAGTCGGCGCGCGGCCGCGTCGCGAGCGCGGCCTTGCGCTCGAGATCGTAAGAGCGCTGGTAGCTTGTCAGAAACTGGTGAGCCACAGAGCCACTGGCTTGGTCAACCCTTGCCGAGCCGATTCTGCAGTTTTGGCAATGAAGCGCGTTGATGTGTGGTACTGGGAGTGACATCACTATTATGGGCAGATACGCAAGCAGGATCAATGCGGGGGCACCCCCGCTGCTGCCCATGTATCAGAAATATCACATGTGTTTTGGATGCATAAACAACACAAGTAGAGGCGAGCTGAGCCCACAACTTATGAATCGCTAGGCACACAAGCCCATCTGTCAAGATCGACCTACCCACAGCTGGCAGCCGCTGCTGCAGCGTCGCTGTATTGGCTGTGCACCTTGAGAAGCGCCGCGGCCGCTCCTGCCGACACCATTTTGGGGCGCCGCAGCGGCTTCGGCGCAGGTGTCGCCTGCGTCTGCTCGTTTGCCGCTTGAGACATCGATTTGAACAGGCCCTGCTGCACAAGCTGCGGGAGCTGCCATGGCATGCAGCGGGTGCTGGTCTTCACTGTTTTAGACAGCATCCGTGACTCCAGCCCGGAGCCCTCCTGCTGTCTGTCCTCCCACCAGTTTCCTGTTTGCAAGGCGGGGGCGGGGGTTTGATGGCAGGTTCGGGCTTTGGTTTTATGAGCTGCTGCTGAGCTGCTGCATCAGCAGCGGCGCAGTGCGCCATGGCCCCAATGCACGCGGCTGTTCACGGCCATGGCCGACATCAACATGTGCAGAGCGTTCGAATCGCATTCTATACACAGCACATTTGTCTGCTTTCATCGGAAAGCTGTTCGTGAAAGCCCTTGCTTCTTGACGCACCCTGGAGCGTTCCGTTGCTGTAGCTATTTGCGGCATCCATCTTGTTTATAAGGCTTGAGATTGCAAGATCCAGTGCAACGGGAAAACACGCTCGCAGTCAAAGTGTTGCCGGCAGCGCGTGCATGACCTCGATTGAGGGGCATCAACCGGGACCTTTGTATTCAGATCACAATCACAAGCTTGTTTTTTGTGTTTGACTGCGTCGACGAACGATTGCGGGGCTTCTTGTGAGCGTTGTAACCCCTGGACATGTGGTTACGTGCTGCGAGGACATCTGGGACAATGCATGAGGTGAAAACTACATAGATTCACATGCAAATCGTGTGAATTATCTATCAGAGATCGTGATCGTGATCTCGGGATGGCATGCGCTCGGGCCTTATTGCTGCACGCGGTGCTGCTACACTATGTACTCTTCGCTACATCTGCAGAGCCTCCCGTGCGGCGCTACCGGTTCCTGGTGTGCGGCGCGGCCAGCCCAGCTGGTTCCTGTGCGATTCTGCGTGTCGCCGCATCGCCCCGTCAGCGCTCCGCCGCTTGCCACCACCAAAACACTCCTGCATTTGCCCCATTTGCCGCTCGCACGCGAAAGCCCCTGCGCCCGCCTTGCCCCCGCTGCCTGTCAGTTCAAAACACCCCCTTTCTGTTCCGTCCTGGCCGCAACGTCCCAGGCTGCCCTTGCGTTTGGCGGCGTGTCCCCGACCATGGATGTCCTGGCGGTGGCGGCTGACCTGGCGGCGCGGGGCCACCACGTCACGGTCGTTGTGCCACAGGTGGGGTCCCTTGCGGCCAATGCCGGCGCTGAGGGCAGAGACAGCAACCTCGCTGCCTGCAGCCTCCCTCCTCCCAGCACGCCGCTCGAGCGCGAACCACGCGCCTCGGCCCGGCCACCGGCCAGACACGGCCCGATTTTTCTCAAGTGTTTCCGCGAGCATGCGGCTTCCCCCAAAGGCTCGCTCAGCCGCGTAGCCGTGCGGGCCCCCGCCGTCTGCCTCGGAGGTGCTCCGCATGCGTCACGGCGCGCTGCCGCCGCCCACCACCCCACCCAAAGGACGACATGCTGTTCAGCCTCCGAGCTGCCGCGCGCCACGGGGCTGGCGGCGGCGCCGAGCAGCTGGAGTGGATGCCCTATGATATGCCCTACACCCTGAACTCGGGTGTGCGTGCCGCTCGTCTCCGCCAGGCCCGGTGGTCGGGCGGCCAGCATGCATCTGTGACATCCAGCAAGCCCAGCACGCCCTCTCGACTTCATAAGGGCCAGCGAACTCCAAATACAGTATAGCATATCAAGTTGGGGTCGCTGCCCTTTGCCTCATGCGCGACGGGAAGCGGGGGACCTGCCCAGGTGACGCAACACCCTCGCCTGCAGCCTGCGCTGCACTGCCGTGTGTCTCACCCCCAGCCCTCTTCCTTTCGCCGCCGCTGCCGCGCAGAGGCCATGAAAAAGACGGCCGCCCAGCTGCTGAACCGCAACGTCGCCACGCTCATCAGCAACGTGATGAAGATGTTTTCGCGGCCCTGCGGGCTCATGCTCGCCAACGAGACGCTGGTGCAGGTGCTGGCGCGGGGGGGCAGGCGGTGGGGCTGGACACGGATGGAAACAGTTTGCGTGGCTCACCGTGTGGTGGCTATGCATAGCCAAGAGCTGCAGGCGCATGCGGCCGTGATGTCAACTAGGACCGTAGCTACCTGTATCCAGGGCCTGGTCACACCGCACCTTCCGTGTTGCTGACCACCGCTCAAACATTGTCAGCATAAACCAGCAGCAGCTCAGGGACGGTTGCTGCATGCACACGAACCACACACGACCGCGGCCACCTGCACCCGAACGCAGGCCATGAAGGAGGGGTCTTATGATGCAGTGCTGACATTTGCGATGCCGGGCGACGACGCCGACTCATGCGGCTGCATCGTCGGCCACCTGCTGCGGCGGCCGCTTGTGTCGCTGCACGCGATCCCCTTCATCACGGCGCCGTGGGGCGCGCCGCAGGTGGGAGTGTGTGCGAGCAGCAGACGTTTGCAGCTGGGTTAGAGGGGCGCGGGCGCGCGTGCGTGCGTGCGTGCGGGCGTGCGCGGCATGCGTGCGTGCGTGCGCGGCATGCGTGCGTGCGCGAGCGCGCATGTCCATGCGTGCGTGTGTGTGTGTGTGTGTGTGTGTGTGTGTGTGTGTGTGTGTGTGTGTGTGTGCGCGTGCGTGCGTGCGTGTGCACGACCATGCGCATGAGCATGTGGGATTGGCATGATTGTGTGTGCCCACGTGTATGTGTTCACGCTCGTCATAAAACGGAGGAGGCCTGCTGCAGAGTCTTTGCTCCCGCAGCTCCATCCTTGGCTCCCAAACCGAACCACCGCCACACCCTCAGCCCACGACGCAACCCAACCCCTCGCTCTCCCCACCGTCTGCTGATGGACGCGCCCAGTTTGGGTCGGGCCTCTCTGACGCCGACCTTGAGAGGCTGGGTGGCCGCGCCAAGAACGCCTTTAACTATTTCCTGACGCGCTTCCTGAAGGGCGTCACCACCACACTGGGCGTCCGCGCGCTCGCAGACGCACGCCGGGCCCTGGGGTTGCCCAAGGGGCCGGCCAGCCGCGGCGGGGGCTGCGCGCCGATGCTGCAGGCGCGATGGCCGGCGTGCGGACGGCGCGCGAAGGGGCCTGCAGTTTGAGGGCGGTGTGGGGGAGGTGTCGGCGCTGAATGGTCTATCTTCAATTGGCAAAGTGCCTTGACGATTGCAGGGCTTGATTTATATCCTATGGTTTCCATGCCTGCTGCCCCCTCTGCTGCGCAGCTCTGTGCAAACAGCTGGCACGTGGAGGCGCCTCGGCCAGTCGGGCCGCCGCAGGTGCGGCCGGAGGGGGGCGCTCACGACCACCATCGAGCGCGCCGAGTGCTCGCACGCCGTGTCCCGCTCAAGCCTGATGGGGCCATCAAAGTGTTTTCGACCGGCGCGGCGGGCCTTTAGCCTTTCTTGCGGCAGTAGCCTCAAGCTCAGCACGCCCACAGGACGCCCTGGCGCCGGCGCCTCGCCTACCGACCCGGCCCACAGGTGCTCATCGGCCCCGTCGCCCCCCGCGCCGCCCGCCCCACCCTCGAGCCGCCTTCCGCTGGCTCCTTCGTGGCCTCTGCCACACACGGCGTCGTCGTCGTGTCGTTTGGCAGCGTGCCTCTGTTTGGTAGCTGCCTCACCGGCCATGACTACATCGAGCTGACCCAGGCGTTTGCTGACCTGGCGCCAGTCAAGGTGTTGTGGCTGCTCAAGCGCAAGAGCCTGCCGGCGGACGTCGCGTTTGATGAGCTCCCATTTGGCAACAACACGCTGCCTCAGGAATGGGTGGTGAGCGTGCCTGGCTGCTGCTCGCTTTGCTGCGATTTCTGTGTGCCACTGGATAGACCCGCATGCGCGCTGGTTTTTGTACTGCCTCCGCCCGGATCGGCTTGCTCGACAAGGAACCCGCATGTGAGCAGCCGCGTGGCCTTTGGGAGATGTGGCGACACGCCCCTGCCTTCCAGCGCTTGCTCGGCGCGCCGCCTCGTGTGCACACGCGATCCCTCCCAGAGCGACGCGCACGCCTTGACCTCCGCGCTCACCTCTCCATCGCGCTCCCCCCACTGGCAGGACAACAATGACCTGCTGGGTCACCCCAACGTGAAGCTGTTTGTCACCCACGGCGGCATGCACAGCCAGTACGAGGCCGTCTTCCACGGCAAGGTGCGTTTCCACGAGGTGACGGATGGATTTGGCAGGCGCCTCCAGTTTACCCGGGGTTTCAAGGCGGGGCGTGCGTGGGCAGCCGTGCAGCCTTGCGAGTGCATCCCTGGAGCCTTGCATGCCACCAGCCGCCGCACACAATGCCACCAGCCGACGCCTCTTGCACGGCTTGCTTGGGTGGATTGGTAGTAGCTGGTGGAGTGGGGCAGTGCCGGCCTCGCCTCATGCCTCTGTGCCAATGCAAACATTGTCAACCGCCTACCAGCCTGCTGGCTTGAACCCCAAACCCTCCCAACAACCCATCCATTGTCTGCAGCCGTTTGTTGGAGTCCCTTTTCAGTTCGAGCAGAGGGTGAGCGCTGTTCCAGCGTCACACGCTCATACCTCATATACCGGCCCCCGCTGCGGCCTGCTTGCCCCTCCTGCTCGTCAAATGGTTTGCCTCTTTCAAGCCTCTGGCTCAGCTGCTGCCCGATTTGATTGCGGGACGCGTGCTCGCCAAGTGCCTGATGTTGTCACCCTGCACACTGACGTGTGAGCAGGCCCAGCTGATTTGCTGCCAACCCTGAACTAGCTTGTGCCCAGGCGGCCTGGGTTAACGGGCTAGCTTCTGCTGCAATGGGCCCCTCAAATCTTTCTCACATCTGATGTGGCAGGCGCCACTTGCCCATCAAGAAGCCAGCGCCACCCTGTGGACGTCCTCCCATTTCACTCTCAGTTTACACTCAATCGCCCGCGTTGCTGGAAATTCACCAACATCCCAACCGACTCAACCACTCCAACCCCGCCCCCCGACAGTGCCGACGCCACCCCCACCCCACCCCACCCCATCGCCCAACCCCAGGTCAACCTGGACCGCCTCAAGGCCCTGGGCATGGGGGAGGTCAGCAGGGAGGCGCCGCCGCTTAGGAGGAGGGGCCAAACCTACACGCGAGCAGGCATGCGGGACCTCATCCAACAGGTGCGCGCGGCCCGGGACGACGGGCGCACGGCGGCTTTGTGTGGCTGTCTGCACCTCGCCCTGAAGTTGCCGCGTTTGCGAGCTGCGAGGGGAGTGGCCCAGCCTTTGATCGGGGCGCCCAGGTTGCTGGGTCGCTTGGTCCAGCATTGTGCTTTCGTATGGCGACTGCACCATAATGGGCATCTTGACGGACCGATGCGGCTTGCGTGCTGGCTCTTGCAATGTGGTGGGGGGTTGCCTGGATTTCCGAGTTCTGCCCCGCCTGTGCACCC